GCTGCCTGGCTTGCGAGGAATCCGTCCAAAAACACAGTGGGGAGCCATTTTGTTTTGCAAAAAGATCGTCGTAATGTGGTTTTGTCGTAATGCGGGGCAATCGTAAAGCGAGGCACCACTGTACCTTAATTCTGCCCACGAGGCAAGATCAGCAGCATAGGAATGTTCTAAACACGCACACAAACATTTGCTTCTTCTGCTTTCCAAGGACCTGGGTGGCAGGAGTTCCATTATCTAAAACACCACTTGTATGCAACATTATGTAAGAAATCTGTGGCCGTTATTTTACTGAACTTCTGCTGAGCAGAAAGTCCTGTTAGCATAATGAAATGGGAACACACCTTTTATGCAAACATTGTTGCACAAGTGGTGATTTCCATGAAGCAAACCCCACCCTCCACTTGCCAACAGCAAGATCTGGACAAGCAACAAGATCTTCTGTGTGGTAGTATTATGGCAGCACCTTCCGCTCAGTGGAACCTTGACAGGATTGTGACCCAAGTGTCTTTATTGTCCATTTAAGTCCTTAGATTTAATTAGATGAAACACATACTTTCTCCCCCCTCTCTCCGGCTTTCCCCTTTATTCAACTTGGGCTGAATGGTTATAAGCAGGATGATAATCATATTCTCTGGCTTATCACAATGGCATGCATTTCATCTTATTTTAGAGATGAAATTTCTTGGGCTGAGCTACCCGGTTACAAAACAAATGTACTAGCACTTAGTTTATATCTGCAGCAGTGAAATTACTGTGCCGCCTGCCTGCTGACCCTTCTCAAGTCTTGAACATGTCCCAACAGGAGGAAGCTGAAACAAAAGCAACAGAGCTCTGGCCAGATGTGTGTGTTCTTATCTCTTGTACTGTACGTATGTTGCCAATGCAAAATATTAACCAGACTATGTAAGGACACAGGAGATGCTCTGGTAGATCAGACTGAAAAAGAGCATCTAGTCCAGCATTGTTTCTCACAGTTGCCCACGAGATGTGTGTGTACGTACAGTATATATGTGGACATCCAGGTCTTTCCCCTTCAAACCAGCTTACAATAACTTTGGAAATACACACAGTTCCAAATCCAACATCACATTAGTGGATGTCCAGTACTGTAGGGGGATCCTCTTCTCACTTTCCCCTCCTCCGCATAACCCCTAACTTGCTCCTCTTGAGAGTTTTCTGGCTGGCCAGAGTGGTGTTTCAGGCTGCAGCAGGGAGGTGCGCTAGTTCCACTGACAGAATCACCCTCAATGGAATAGCCCCACAGCATCCTACCCTCTAAAAGAACTATTAACTTGAAGTCCAACAGACATATAATTCCAACAGACATATAAAAGAGGCATTGAAAACCATAAAACTAAATGTAATAGCAAAATTTTAAATTCTTCTCTGGGGGCAGGGGGAGAAAAGTCTTTGCATGGATGTCAGAAATACTCCAAAATGGGTGCTATGCGAGTCCTTCTGTAAAAAGTCATCGGAATCCACAGAGTCATCTCTGAAAAGGCCCTGTCCCTACTACGAGGGGCTACCTGTCACCTATCTGTCTCCAGGAGGACGTGGAGAAAGGCCTAGATTCTGACAAGTGTCTCAGAAGTCTGCAAGCAGGCACAGATGGTGATACTTAGTGGAAGCCCACTTTGAGGTCTTATCCAGCTTATTCAGGCCTTTTTATCCAATGACTAGCTCAGAAGCTAAAAGTGGAAAGAAGTAGCTCTCGTCCACTATTAGGTGGGATTGTTATATGATAGAAAGGAAAAAATTGATATAGGTCCATATAATACAAAGAATCCAGACAAAACTTTATTCAAAGATGTATCTTTTTCTCTGAAGATATATCTTTCTTTCTGAGCCAAAATTAATTAGACATTTGTTAGTCAGACCTCACAGATGGTATTTTGGCTACCTAGAAATCACCTAAAGCGTGACAAAAGGCAACATTGTTTGTTCAGTCGTTTAGTCGTGTCCGACTCTTCGTGACCCCATGGACCAGAAGGCCTTTTTATCCAATGACTAGCTCAGAAGCTAACAGTGGAAAGGGAAGAAGTAGCTCTCGTCCACAAATAGTCGGATTGTTATATGATAGAAAGGAAAAAATGGATACAGGTCCATATAATACAAAGAATCCAGACAAAACTTTATTCAAAGATGTATCTTTTTCTCTGAAGATATATCTTTCTTTCTGAGCCAAAATTAATTAGACATTTGTTAGTCAGACCTCACAGATGGTATTTTGGCTACCCAGAAATCACCTGAAACATGACAAAAGGCAAGAGGCCCTCCTATCTTCCACCGCCTCCCGGAGTTGTGTCAAATTTATGTTGGTTGCTTCAATGACACTGTCCAACCATCTCATCCTCGGTCGTCCCCTTCTCCTCTTGCCTTCACACTTTCCCAACATCAAAGTCTTTTCCAAGGAGTCTTCTCTTCTCATGAGATGGCCAAAGTACTGGAGCAACAGATGGACTATATTTGGAAATGGAAGAGGTAATGCTTAAGCATGTCTATTATACCACTCCTCCTCTGACAAGCCTCTCAAGTAAGACAATCAGTTTCACAATCCTCATTTGAATGCTCAGTAGTCATACAAGACACTATACAATGAATCTACTGATCCTTCAAGACCAAAATTAACAAAGAATTGTGATTTTTGACAGTGCAAGTGAAAGGCAGACACGGTAAAAGAGCAATCAGCAGCAAAGAATTAGGGCTGTGGAAGAAAGAGTACTGAAAGGCAGACACGGTAAAAGAGCAATCAGCGGCAAAGAACTAAGGATGTGGAAAAGTACTATCTATCAGAAAAAGATGATGGTGAAATTGAGCATTTATGGCATGCAAACTCCCTCCCTCACAATTTAGCTTCACATCCCAAGAAGACAAGATGATCACTTGAATGTCAAAAGACTTATTTTTTGCAAAATAACAGTCTAGCTACTCCATTTGGAATTAATGGAAGTTTCCTGGTGCTGTTACTCAATGGTAGTCCCCCATGCAGCCAAATATCGAAACATGGCTCAGGAGGGTGGGTATATAGGCTGGCTAGGGTCAAAGGCTACTAAGAACATGTTTAGCCAAGGTTTGTGATTATGTTTTAAATCAATATCTGAGTCCACAAGTGCTTTCACATCCTCATGGAAATCTATTCCTGGTTGCCCATGGAAATCTATTCTTGGACTGTATATTCACTGGGTTTTTCTTCGAAAGGGACAAATTCCCAACCTTTAATTTAGTACACTGCTATCAAACGAATTATGCTCTTTCTCATCCGAGAAAAGTACTGAGCTTTCCTCACCTTTTCCATGTTCCTAATGTCACCCCCTCCCAGCAATACAGTGGTTGTTGAGCTCAACTATAATCCTCAGAACTGGGTTCCTGGTGGAAAACTTGCTGTTAACCCTTGTGACATACTTAGTCTTGGTCTGTTTTTCTTTAAAACATTATTTTTAATAATAAAGAAAAGATTACATTTGGTAGACTGTTCCTCAGTATTACTGACTAGGTTTCACAAAGACTTTTTTTGTAAAAATGCTTGGGTGACAGTAGAGGAGTACAGGAAAACCACATACTTCTGAACAATATATTTTGTTTTTTCATACCATTCAAGATCTCTCCTCTACACCAGAGCTGAATGGCTCAGCATCTTTCTTCCCACAGACAAAAACACAGTGCAGGCATTACTTTGCCCTACTAATACGGGGGGGGGGGGACATCTAGCCTCCTCCATGTTGTTATCATTACTTGCCTCACCCCAGAAATGACATAAGAAAAGTTCTTATTCAAGGGGGGGGGGGACACCTAGCCTCCTCCATGTTGTTGTCATTGCTTGCCTCACCCCCGAAATGACATAAGAAAAGTTCCTATTCGTTTCAAGGTATTCTGTGTGAGGAAGAACCCTGGAAAATAAGGAATCATGCTCATGAGAACATGAACCTTACCCCTTCAGACACTTTGCTTTCCCCATGTGGAAAGTGTGCAGTGGTGGGAAAGCAGAACTATTGCGTTGGATAAAATGAAGTGAATAACACCTGAATAGATCTAAAGATGGACAGCAATCCAGTTTAAACTGCTCTCAGAAACTCTGATTTGTTTCCTGACCCTTCAGTCAGTTTTGCCTCCATGATATTAATTTCTTACAGGCAATGAGCAGCATCTTGTCATTTATGATAATGTCTAGGCAAAATCTGTAATCCTCTTACTATTGCATCCCCCAAGTGCTCTTTTTCAGTGACCTAATTTTAGGGTAGGAGTGAGGAAAGTACTTCTTCTCTTGAATTATGAAGATTCCTGGCAGCCAGAAACCTTCACTAACATACTGTAATTCACCGAAGATACACCAACAGATCTCAAGCTACTTGCTGCCCACCTCTCAAAACATTTGCTTTCTGAGACACAATACTTAAACCCAAGCAAGTTATTTTGGTAAAAAAGTCCTTATTTCTCCATCCATGGCTGTAGCATCAGAAATTAAATAATAGGTAACCTGGTGCCATTTCACAATGCCCGAAGCTTGAGAGGGCTGCCACATTCTGGCCAATGCTAGTGGTGGCCCTGCCATCCCTGCAGGACACTAGAACTCAGAAAAGTTACTTTTATGAGCTACAGCTCCTAGAACTCTCTCACACTCTGAGAGCTATTATCCAAAAAAGGTAACGTTTCTAAGGTATGTTCCCTAAAACTAATGAGTAACAAAAGGTTCAATGCCCAGTGCATACATTGCTTCTTCTAATTAAGGTTCAACAAGCACACATCTTTGAGGTCTTGTTTTTATACTTCACTTTCCCAATAGGTAACAAACTATAATGCTATGGGATCTTCAAACCTGTGGTACTTGTTACATTACAAGTAAATAAAGAAGATTTTCCCTTGCTTTCCACAATGTGGAAAATATGTCCATTTTGCATTCAGCACAAGAAGTTCTTTGTTTACGGAGAGGTGTCCTCCCCCATCTCCTGCCCCCAGTCTCTGGTGAAAGTGATGGTATTAGTGACCCAAGACAACATCTGCTATGGTCTGCCAGAAGATTTAGAATTTATTAACCGGTGATGCCATCTGCTGGTTCAAGCGATGCCTCTTCAGACTTTAGAAAAAGCTGTGGAGAGCGATCCAGCCAAAATGACACAAAATGCTGCTAAGAGCAATAGATAGTTTTTGAGTCCCTGCATAGACAAGGGGAAATGCAAGGAAGCACTATTATTTCAGGAAATAAAACATGGTATTTCACTATTTGCAGAACAATGCACATCACTCACTTGCTATACAGTGATAGCATAATGCTGCAGCTGCAGCAACTACAATCGTGTTCTGCAACAATTATTGTAATAAATCATCTGACGTGAGGTATTGAACATCTAGTAATTACAAACATGCCTTTTGTTGGCCAAACAACCTGCATGCATTGGCTTGTATAATCAGTTTTCAACTGCATTAAAATCCCTACTTAGGGATGCAGCTCTGTGGGTGACCTTGGCAATTGCCATCTATCGACCTACGCTGGATTGTGGGAGGCTAAAAATGGTGCAATCTACAAACATCAAATAACACACATCCTACCTTGAGATCTTTGGAATTTGGATAAGATGCATCAGCTCAGGCTTGTACAGCAGCTTGATCTGGCCCCCATCAGCCATAAAGCACTTACATCTGAGCTGGAAACCCACAGTGAATGTCATCTACCCCTTGCCCTGGTCCCACTAATTCCCTCCCCTATAGCAGAGGTCCAGAGGACTGCTTAACCCTTTAAAATGTACCTGACATCTAGCAACAGGAGAGCTATGTGGAATGGGTAGAGAAAAAATGTGCAGGAAAGGTTAAGCACCCCCTTTCCACCACCACTGCTTCTTTAGGCCAAAGTAACTCTTCCCCAAATTCCTTTTCTCTACAGGCAGCAGGCACTATGAGTTTTCTTATCCCTGACATGTGCAACGCTTTGGACATGTGAAACAAGTGTGGGGAAAGGGAGCAAGTGACTCTCTAGATTTGCTGGGAACCTTCAAATCTGAGCTCACAGACCTTACACACACTCAGTTTGTAAAATGCTAAATAAGTATTTAAAAAAGTAAGTGTGTAAATCACTGGCCCAGCCTTTGACCTCAACCCAACTTCTTTAGAACACCCTAAGCATTGCTCCTCAGATATAGACATGACTATGATGACAGAAGGATTTTACAACTCTTACCTTTATTTCCTTAAACACCAGAACTCCCCACATTGCAGCTATAAAGCCAGGGCCCTAGAAAACAGGTTTAATACACGCTGAATATCAACAGTAACATTTGCTGATGAAGACTTTCCAGAAATCTCTGGATGGTTCCTTCTGATTTAATTCATAAAAATCTAACTGGGTGGTAAATTGGTTGTTCATTACCATACCAAGAAGAAGAAAAGAGTCTTTGAAAAGGAGGCACCACATCATAAAATAACCTCACTGGAATCTTCTGAGCCACAGATGTCACAAAGCCCTTTTGCAGTGGAAAATACTCATATTCTGTTGCCGGAAAATGGAACACTATTTATTTATTCTCTAAAACCATTTATTTTCTGTACTATACCACAATCTCACTGCTTTGAGGTCACAGAGCCCCTTTGCAGTAGAAAATACTCATATTCTGTTGCCGGAAAATGGAACATTATTTATTTATTCTCCAAAACCATTTATTTTCCGTACTGTACCACAATCTCACTGCTTTCCATGGTGTTTCCAGTTTTAGCTTCTCAACTTTAAACCATTTATCGTAGCACATTTTAAGGTATTTACTGCCAAATCCATGGTGTTTCCAGTTTTAGCTTCTCAACTTTAAACCATTTATCGTAGCACATTTTAAGGTATTTACTGCCAAATGACATACAAGTTCTCAAGTCAAGACCCCACTGCATTGTAGCACATTTTAAGGTGTTTACTGGCAAATGACGTATAAAGAGCCAGAATGACACCCCCCCCAAAAAAAAAACTGCTGGCTTTGAGTTCAACAGCCGCTGCGCGTTTTACATCAAAATAGTTCGGCCTACCTTCAAATTGGCTGGAAGAAGACAAAAAAAGCTATATATACGATACTCATCCTTGCATTTCTGAAGCTAATAACATTTCCTGCAACAGAACCATCAACAGGATGGGTACAACAGTTCAGTGCCACTATGAACTAGGGAAGTACTGTATGACTAACCAGAGATGACACTTCTTATTCCTTCTTCCCCAGACAAGTGATATATTCTTCATGAATATCGGGGAAGAAATAGAGGGAATATTTTCCTCCTCTGTATCACATCCCTAAATCATTCTCACAAAGTGCTTCTTGGAACTTTTCTCCCCTTCTTCCTCCCCCATCCATCATGGCCACTTGAAGCTTGGGCATAACACACCCTTCTCTTTGGGAAGTGAAGGGGGAGCTCTTCAGAGGGAGATGCCCTCTTTATCTCTAATTTAGTTCCTGTATCACTATTAGATAAGTTCTGGCTCCATTCCACTTCCTTTTCATAAAAGATGATTAGCAAGGGCAGCCCTTCTATTAGGCAACAGCCTCAGACAACAGGTGTTGATGAATAGCAATAGAAGCAAACCTATTATTATTGCTACGGAGAACAATATCATCATCAGTCCTTTACATGGAAACATGTCTATGTGTCTGTCTGTCTGTCTGCGTGTGTGTGCGTGTGTGTGCATGTGTGTGTGTATGAGAGGGGGCCCCTCTGTAGCCAGTACGTTCATCAGCCTGAGCATGGTCAGACTAGAATTAAATTTAATGTCTGAAAAATGAAATCAGATTCTGCTAGAAGAAAAGATGAATGAGAAGGACATAACCTGATAATGTATACTGTTGGGTGTACAACGAGCTCTGTAAGACTGTATGTAAAACCTTTATAAATAGGATAGGAGCAGCAGAAATGCACACTTTTAAGATGTTCAATATCCCAGTTAAGGAACAGAATTATTTTGTCACTTACTGCAGTGATTATAGGAAAGCTAACCACAGCACTGAGGTAACGGTTGGCGATGAACCAGCAGCAACTGGCAATGGCCCACAATACACCAGATACAAATCCTGATAACAGACAATAAGTAATTTCACACAATCTATTTCATACAAGTGGACAAGGTTCCCTCTAAGATCTGCACATAAGACTAAAGCGCACAATGCTCCCCACCCCCCATGCACCTACAGCAAATATTTCCAGCCCCTTTGGTTCTGGTTGTGGCAGAACCCTGTGCAGAGGGCAGAGCTGCACACATGAGGCATGGAGCCCCACCCAAAAGGGCTGAAAATTAGAGGAAATGTTGCAAGTGGAACATGCGAAGTTACAGTGTGGAGTCGTCCTGCTTAAGGTGCCAGCCAGCCAGCCATGCCCTTATCCAAGATGCTTCATTCTAACCCCACTTTACCTTGTTTTGCCCCCTTCTACCAATCGTTTCCCCCCACCTCCCATGGCACTTATAATTTTGTAAACCCTGGTGCCTCTCTGTGCACTGTTCTTATGTGTTGTTCTTTTGGCTACAAAAAGACCTACACCTAGAGAATACGGGATTTACAATACACAGATGATATAGTGAGGAAGAAATCCATGCTGATACTCCATTCACTAAGGAGCTGGCTTAAGATATCAGTTTTATTTATTTTAACAATTCCTGGGAAGCTACATTTTTCACCTAATTGATGACAGGCACAGGCTACATAATTCAATGTGTTCTACAGGATTCATTGCAAAAAATTGTCTGGTTTCCTACACAGACAAATTTTCCAATTATTCAGCCCAAAAATAGTGCAACATTTTGAACAGAAAATGGACAAGGGACAACAATAGGGTGAATTAAATGGCCAGAGGCCTCCAACAATTAGCCTCACTGAAACTGAGGATTTAAGTCACCCTACTTTCTCACTCAAATCTGCTCTGCTGCTTTGAGGCTAAAACAGATCCTGAATTCTAGCAGTGAAGATTCACATGCAGAAGCATAAGGCGTCAAAATTCATCCTTAGCACTTTTGTACAGCTGTTTTACAGCAGTCAAGGTAGTCTGCATACATTATCAAACTATAATCCTTAATCAAACTGGTGAACTCAGATGTTTTGGACTACAATTCCCATAAACCCCAGCAAAATAGCTGACAGGGATTATGGAAGCTGTAGTTGAAAACATGTGGAGAGCACCACTTTTGCTGTTCTAAGTCAGAAATATTATATTCCTTATAGCTCAGTGGTTTAGATATCTGGCTGCATATCCAAAGGTTGGTAATTTGATTCCTCACAATGCTTCCCTGACAGGCCCTGGGCTTGATGATCCAAAGGGTTCCTTCCAGCACTGCAGTTCTAAGATTTTAAAGATTATTTTTATATTGCAGATTGGAGAGAATGGCTTCCCGAAAGTTGTCTGTCTGTTAATTGTAGAGGCTACATTTAAACCAAGGACTTCTCTGTCTGAAACTCAGTTTCTTAGCTACATCACCTTTTGATGTTCTTTGAACAATTAAGAAGGTGAGGAGCTCAGCCTACAATGGAAAAAGCCACATTTGTTCTTGTTAGTAAGTACAACTGTATATATCTTTAAAAATAAGCATATCCATGTTGAATTAGCTAATAAGACAGAAACTTTCATATGTAACATTCTTCTCTATATACTTCAATTTTATTAGACCAATAATACTCTTAATTGCCTTAAGGATTATATGCAGGACAGCCAATGCTTCACCCTCATTTAAAGATAAGCACAGGTTTTCCAGCCTCATTACAAATTTGTCTATAGCAACAGGATAAAAACTGTATTTTAATTAAAACAAAAGCAGATATATTTGAGAAGTGTACCTGGGATGATAGCTTGAGGATAAATGTTCGGCTTATTTTTTTTCACTGCACAGTAGATCAGAAAGTAAACTGTACTGGTGAGGAGGATGCCGCTGAAGTGTGCAAATACATAATCTAAATCTAAAAGAAAAGATCAATGTACATGCAAGATACAAAATGTACACAGAAAATATATTCAGGAATTTCATAACCATTGGTCAAAATCCTCTTGCATAGCTACGCAAATGGCGTAACATTCAGAGGCAAAGGTGGCTGTAGGTGTTTCGGGCTGTTTGGCCATGTTCTCCATGTTCTGGAGAACACGGCCAAAGAGCCCAAAAAACCTACAACAACCATCAGATCCTGGCCATGAAAGCCTTCAAGAATATATTTGGAGGCAAATTACCCCAAGTTAAGAAATTACCGTACACATTATCAGTTGCACACTGAATCATACAATTCAGTATACAATTCATAGCATTCTTATATTTGGAAATTCTCCTCCTAACCTTATGCTGTTTGTGCTACACCACCATAAGTAGGTTCGGGCTATTAAATCACAGATGCAAGTGCCTTGTGCAAGGCCATGCACATACCTTAATTATAGATTTTTCAATACAAATTAGCCTTCCTTGATTGGGTGACTTCCAGGTAGGTTAGACTACAATGTCTATCATACCCACATCCATCAGATCTGGAAAGTCCCAACTTCTTTCCCCACTTCCACCCATCATGGAAGCTCAAAGTTAGCATAGATTATTTTTAGAAGTACTCATCTGTCTTTACCAAACTGGCTTGCTCCTGTGTACATTGTCCCATTCCGTCTGCCATGGTCCTTAATGTAGAGCACAGGCACAAAACTAGATCCATAAAATATTCCAGCTGTCACAGCCAGGGAGCAGCCTCTTACAGTAGAAGAAAGATAAAGGGATGGCAAAATTATTGTCATATCATTATAACAGAGAAAACATGGTACAGTCATGGAACAGCATACGGACTGCCAATGGTTTTCCAGAAATAATTGCCTGGAAAGAGATGTCAAAATGCTCACAACTGCAGTGAAATTGTTGGGAGTTAGCAGTCTCTCTTTCCTTAGGGAACTAATCATAGAATTCATGTGACATGTGCATTTTTAAATTAAGGCAGGGTAGAAGAAATTCACTGGAACAGTGTTGAGTACTTACATGATCCTTTTCCCCAACGGAGACAAACTGTCCACCCATGATACATCGTTCCTATGTTCAGCTCGACATTCATAAGAATTGATTGACTGTGGATAAAAATGAAAGTCTCAGAGTGTGAGGTTTCTGAAAAGATTTCTGAAAATCCCATAGCTGGATTCATTGTCTGTTGGTAGCTACCAGGATTGCTGGGGATAGGTTTCCTCCAGTACCAGAGATGAAGGGGAAGACCACCTTAAGAGTGATTTCTTGGACAAAGCCACTTGAAAAAGACAAAAGGAAAACTAGGGACCTCAGAGGGGCCACCCACAAAGCCTTGGAAAACTGGTGCTTTGAATTACACCCCCCACCAGTCCCCTTCTTTCAGTATAGAGGGCAGTAATGATGCTTTCAAAAATGAAACTTACATGTTCTGTTAGTAAAGGAGTGGTTTCTGAGGATGGGGAAGGATTCTGAACATCACTTTTTATGAAAAGAAAGAGGACGGTGCTGCAAAATAAACAGCAACAGAACCGTATACTCATGATGATGTAGTATTTCATGGACATACGTACTTATGTAGCATATATTTTAACTTTGTACCTTTTCCTATATTTTTGGTTGTGGTTCTGTGATCCTTTATTTTAATTTTTTGGGCCATTTGTAAAAAATTATTCTTTAATATTCTGAGTTCAAGGGATCCCAAACAACATTTTAAAAACTGCAAGCTTATGCATGTTTACTTGGAAACAAATCCCAATGTTCTATTTGGACTTACTTTCTAATAGGTATATTTAGGACTGCAGTTTAAGATACAGTGGACCCTCGACTTACAGACGGCTTGACTTACAGACTTTTCGACTTGCAGCCACCATTCCAATACGGATTAATTCCTTAAGTAGAGGGTCCACTGTACATGTCCGGCTCAGACTCGAACAAGTAGCATGACCACTGTGTTTCAGTTGTTTTAAAATATATGTTAACTTACTGATGTTTTAAACACTGAAACAGAAGAATTAAGAAAAAAAGTAAATGTTGCACTTTTTTTAAAAAAAGAAAATACCTCAATACTGAGAGTCCAGCTCCAATGTAGTTTAATGTTGGTTTTGCAACTACTTCTGGGTCAATTCCAAACCAACCAAACCTGTGAACCAAGAAGTTAGAATGTGTTTTTCCCCTCATTCTCTAAAGAAAGGAGGTCTTGAAACTTGGTGAAGGAAGCATGTGCTGTTCATCAGTAACAGATATCTATGACACAAACATACTATCACTCAATTATTGTCACTGACCACTGCTCAAAACAAGCAGTGGTAGCATCAGCTAGGGCAGGAGTGGGCAACCCGCGGCCCTTAGATGATGTTGTAATACAACTCCCATCATGCCTGACCACCAGCCATATTAGCTGGACTTCATATGAGGCAGAGATCATCAATGCTGGAGGGCCACAGGTTCCTAATGTTCAAGTGAGTAAAGAACACAAAACCTCCTCAGTCACACAGTACTGCAATTCTCATACATACTAGTACAATACCTATTTCTGCAAGATTTCTCTAGATCAGCCATTCCCAAATGGGGCCATATGGCATATTTAAAGGGGTCCACAGAATGGAAACAATTCTTCACACACCACCTTATAAGGTTCCTTATGCAAGTTATACAATCCTGATTCAGCCTATATTTCTTTCATATTGTGTTTATGGCCGTGGCCAAAAAAAGTTTGCTCTAGTTCACACATACAATCATTGTGTTTATGGCCGTGGCCAAAAAAAAGGTTGTCCTAGATCGCATATACAATCTAAGGAACTGTTGCAATTTTTGTTTTAAAAAACATTATAACTTATCTGTATCCGGAGCCAGTCATAAATATTACAAAAATACCAACTCTTCTAAAACACTTTAAGCACACACAGTGTATCAGAATTACCTGTTAAAGGCTGTATGTAATTGAACATATTCTTTGATTTTAAAAGTCTACAACTTAGAGACCCATAACCAGAGTTATATCTTTTGTACACCATTACTCACAAAATCCCCTAGGCAGCAGTGATTATCCTGGCTAGGGAATTTCAGTAGCTACCATCCCAACAAGAACTGCTTGACATCAAGATGTCTGCTTCAAATACAACTACTCTGTGTTTTTGTGGTTAAGCATGTGAGTGGGTTCCTATGCTCCCACTGTATAACTTACTATGCATAAGTACATCAGGGGGGTTGGGGGAAATACCAAGAAATTTTGTTTAGCTGCAGCATGCCTTTTAACAAACATTGCAAATACATAAATGATTATTACAATAATGGTTAAAAATGCAGTGCTTACCTGGAGCTTGCCCAGCCAGTTAGCAAGTTAAAAGAAGCCCAGATTAAGATACCAAGACCTAACCCAATGGTTTTAAAAATCGGGACAACGGTTATATTACCTGCAAATAGTGTGGGGAAAAAAACAAAAACAAAATCCACTTACTCATTAATCAGCTCCTTGTAATTTTATATTTATAGCACGAGTTGTCATAAGTCAGAATCAATCTGACGGCACATAACTATTATTTATTAATGGCAAATAATAAAACAACAATAATTAACAACAACTAATATCAGCATGCCTGCATATGGACTCAATTCCTCAATCTGTTTATCAACAAATACGTATACAATCCCAAGGGAGTCTTGGAACTTGGGGAGGGTGTTGGATCCTTTTAATCTGAACAAAACATTGAGCACAGCTGGTGACATCATCAGTCTTGGATGGTGAAAAGTTGTGCAACAGGATTTCAACCACTGTCTACCCCATACCCTCAAACCGTCTTTTTTCCCAGATCTAGTTTTTGGTTTCTTTTTTCAGTTATGGTTACATCTGTCTCATAGTTAACAACTGTATCTTACAGTACCCTTGCAATCTGAAAATTGTGCATAAATCTGTATGCAGGTGGATACTGAAAGTTGAGAAGGTAGGAATGGTTCAACATTACCTGTAGCCCACAAAAAGCCCCCAACCATAGCAAGAGGCCAAAATCTAGGGCTGTTCTGAATCAGATTAACAATTAAGGCAACTATCCAGATGGCAACACACAGAATCCACTGGAAGAACATGCCTAAAACATAAACAAATGCAACAACAGCTAAATATGCTATACCATTTTACATGAAGGGCTGCTAAATCTTAGCTACTTGAATCTTTACCCCACATTAGAATAGGAAGTCATTCTGGCCTAGTGCTTTTCTTCAAAATAAAACAAATGTGTTTATTGTAATCTGTCATTTGATGTTGAGTTATAGAAAAAACAACATTCAAGGCATACTGTATTGGGTTATACCCCGCCTATCTGGTGGGTGAGGACAGCTTAATCATGCTTCCTTTGAAAGTGTGTTTATTGTAATCAGTCATTTGACGTTGAGTTATAGAAAAAAACAACATTCAAGGCATATTGTATTGGCTCTGAAAAAAGATTGGCATCTGTGGCAAAAGGAAGCAGAGACCATTCAGCTACCTGCATTGACAAAGGAACTCTGTCTCACATACTACTATCAAGGAAATGGCTGACTACACGATTTGTTCAAAGGGCAAGTTAAAGGCTTCACCCCATTGGCTGAAATATTTTTACTTGCTCCTTCATGATAGCTAGGTAATAGAGGAGCTGGCTGGATAGATTGGTGAGTTAGGTATCTGGCCTAGAGAGCAAGAAGCCAGGAGTTTAGTTTCTCACTGTGTATCCTAGAAGAGCTTGTGTGGCCTTCCACAAGCTGCACAGTCCCAGGGCACCCCGAGAAGGCGGCAATGGGAAACCACTTCTGAGTACCCGTACAAATAGAAAACCTTGGAAAAGGTTGCCATAAGTCAGAATTGACTTGATGGCACACTATTTCACATATACTAGTGGCTAACATCGCTTAGATATGTGAAAATTTCATGTTCTGTACTGTTTAGTCTGCAAAGTACCTCCCCCCACCTCAGCAATCAGGTTTCAGCTCCAGTATTTACCATCACCAGTGTCAAATTTCTTAACTGGTACAAAATTTGTTCCAAATAAGACAACGGCTACTGCTGAAGCGGTAAAACCAATGGCTAAATCTGTTGCATTGTTGCTTCCTTGCCAGGCATCCATCTCTGTTGTGAGTGACAAACTTTTTCAAGGAGCTGCTTAGATTGTTTCTTCCTGGCAGGGCTGGAAACAGGAGAATGAAATAAACAAACAACAATTAGAGGTGAAATCTCTTTTTAACAGCAATTGTCCTACTTATTACTGCCACTAACATGTTACTATTCCTGCTGTACAATAAAGGGATTTTTTTTTAAAAAAAATACTAATCCATAATAAAGATGGGGTGGTTTTTAGATAGTAACCTGCCAGGATCAATAGTAATTACTACAGACGGGAAACGTCTTGGGTTTTCTGAACTGTATGAGTCTGCCAGTTGTGCTCCAAAAAGCCTGAAACAGTTCCTACCTATTTCAATTACTTTATCACCCCCTCAGCAGCAACTGCCTCTACTATTAGACAGAATAGGCAGCTGGCTCAGGTGGCAATTATTCAGTGTCATTAAAGCGGTGAGTTGTCCACAATTGATATTTTCATTATTTTGTATTTTTACGACCATGGATGAGGAGAGACTCTTGTGCTCTCTCCTGCTGTATGTCAGAATAACTGGGATTTGGGTACTGGTGCAATTGACCTCGATGGGAGCATATCACCTCTTGCTGTTGCACTAAAGGCAGTCAAATGTTTTGGGTTGGCCTCGTTTTCAGATGACATCGTTTGTTCCTCGATCGCTTGTACGTCTAAACGCTGCCATCGAAACACGGGCTGAACGTAGCCATTTTGTCTATGCCAAAAGCTTGGGTATCTGTTTACAACTTTTATTTCTGGAATCCGCATCCTTTCTTTGCTCTTGACCACCATCGCCCCCATATCTGTTTGTCTCGCCCCGCATTTATTTATTTTGCGGAGGTCTTTTCCTGTGTTTACTGTAAACAGGTAATTCCCTGGCACATGGAATTTACTTACACACCTTCCAGGCCGAGCTTACTTCGTGCAGATTTTCTAAACCATTTTTTAAGGATAAGAGCAAGAAACTCCACCCTGTTTTCTCAGGTGACCCATTTCCTCAGTCTTTATTAGGTGGTTTCCAAACCGTGTCCCTTCCGTTTTGCCAACTGAGCAAACCCTTTTTTTTAGGTTTGCGCAATGGGTTGTCTTGAGAACCGAAGAATCCTGGTGGAACCCGCGAAATGACACCCGAGTTGGCACTCTCTTCCGTAACTCGCTCTTTTCCTATCTATCTGTGTTAAACTGCAGCTGCGGTCGCTTGTTCGCTCGGATACGATGACGAGCTGAGGGCAAAGGGAAAGAGGAGGGACCCGCGTTTCCTTTAAGGTAGTCGTGCTGCCCCACGAGGTCCAAAGAGCCGCACGAACCTTCCCTGTGGAGGCGAGCCAGAGGAGAAATTCTCGGAAACGTAGCATTTCGCTCCCGCCTTCCATCTTCTACATGTACAATATACTGTGTATCTTTAATATGGAATACTCATCACCGGCGTAAGAAAGCTTCCCCGCCCCCCCATTGTGACAGGTCACTTTAAAATCAAATTCCTCCGTTTCCTTCAAAAACAACTGCAGTGACAGGCTCCGGATTGGGCTGGCTTTCATTTATTCGTATTTTTCCCACCCTCCTCTCACCACTTAGTGGTGCTGTTACACCAAACTGGTTCGTGCACAAGAACCCTTAAAGACAGATTTATCCGCATGAACTGTAGTGCACCACGGCTCACGTAGGTAGATAGTTAGCAGAATAAATTTGGCTTCAGTCTTGATATAAATAATGGTTGAGATCACTATGGTTGAGGCTCAGCTGTGTCTCCTTCCCCCATCCCCTGCACCCTTGCATGGTCTATCCTTTACATACATTTTCCACAGTTCATATATTTTGCAGTCCTTATGGCCAGATTCGTTACACATCCAATAATCTCCTATTCACTGAATGTCTACTACTTGAAAGTGTGCACTGCACACACTCATTTGCTGTACTATCAAATTTTATACACTCCAAAGTCCTTTGCTCTTACATTTCTGTATTTCATCAGTTTAAGGGCCCACAGAGTGAGTGGCATTAGTTCTCTGTAGAGAGGATTCAGTATGGACATCTTACAAGCAGAGTCAGCCCAGGACATTTTATTGCCTGAAGCAGAACAACAAATGGCAACCTGCTTTTCTATCTAAGGTCAGAAACTAACCTTGGAGACAGCTCATGACTGGAAGGTGAAAACCCTTAACTAATGTAAGCCCAGTCAGTGTCATGGCAGAATGTTATTTCACCTCCAGGGTTATGCAAATCAGAGTGCCTTGTTTCATGACTGATCTTCGGGGTTTATGGATAATATTCCTTTGAAGTCTAATTTCAGAAATATGAAACAGCTACCTCAGTCATCTGTCTTCAGTATGAATGTGCTTTCTGCTCTAAATATGTCAATTAATCTCTTTTTCTGGCCCAACCAAGTTGAAAACCGAACAACCAAGCTGGAATATACAAGATGCCTCTTCTCTTCTCTGGAAGTAAAAGCAGGATAATAACAAAGTAAATAAATAATACTTCAGTCTCCTTTCACAATGCCCCAAGCTGTCACAGGTGACTGCCTCATTCAGCCTAATGCTAGTGCCAAACTTGCTTACAAGCAAATAAAGTGATTTTCTTGCAGACTGGTTTTTATGCTGTTGCTACCATGTTTCCTCAAAAATAAAATATGGTCTTATATTAATTTTTGCTCCAAAAACGCATTAGTGCTTATTTTCAGGGGATGTTTTACTTTTTTCAGGTACAACAATCTACATTTATTCAAATACTGTACAGTCATGTCATTTGGTTGCTGCACAATGCTGCACAATAGCGGAGGGCGGGTTTCACTTAACCTGGGCTTATTTTTGGGGGGGGGGGAGGGCTTCTATTACGAGCATCCTGAAAAATCATACTAGGGCTTATTTTCAGGTTAGGTCTTATTTTCGGGGAAACAGTAGTACTACGAATGCTGTGTCTTGAAAGGGTATACCTTCAAAATTTCATTTTATGAAATTTATTTTATGTCAGTTTTCTTTGGATGAATGAATGAATCGAGACTGAAATCCCAGTTACCTGGAAGTAAGCCCTGTTAAACTAAGTGGCATTTTCTTCTGAGTTGACATGCACAGAACTGTGCTGAAACTGTAGTTAGTTTACCATTCATGATGTACCCAGGAGTCACAGCTAATGATCACAGTTTTAGCAAAACAGTGTTTTATAGAACAGAGTCTGGCTGTTATCCTAACAATTGAATTTGAGAGCCAAATTATCATTTTGTGAATGAATTGGTCATTCAGCAAATGGGTTTGGTTGGTGAAGCCAGCATGACCCCTGGACGTATTGTTAGATTTACAGTTCTGTTCTAGAAGAATACCCAGGATTTATTGCAGACAAGGAAGGAAAGAAGGATGGAAAGAAGAAAGGAGGGAAATCTTTTATCATCTTAAAAGATTTTTATCATTATAAAAAGATAATTATAACTGTAGGAAGAGGGAAAGAGAAAGAGAAAAAGAGAACTAAAAATAATTAAATGCCTTCACTGCCCTCTGGTGGCTTTGCTGAAACTTTTCAGATGTAGTAGGACTGAAATCTGTCTATCTTTAACGGGGAATAAGCCCTATTAAACTCTGCAGTGCATTTGTATAGGATTACACACCAGATTAATTAAAATGTTGAACAAGATGACCTCTTTCCATCCTTCAAGATCAAGGTGAGCCACTCCCTGGACTGTAGACCATCCCTGGTAATTATCATCCTCTAGTAAATTTCTAAGCCAGGGATGGAGAAATCTTGGACTGCATTTCCCCTAAATTCATCACATATATGATTGTCTGACTGGAGCTGCAGTGCAACAATAACTGGATTGCTCACTCCTCTTCGAAGGTGTCCTCTACATAGGACACCTTCATAGGAATGTAGAGGCAGTGCAGTGTGGTGGGTGGAGTAATGGATTAGGAGTCAGGAGACTGGGTTCAAACCACAATTCTGCTCAACTGCAGAAATTCCTCACAGGGTGGAACCGGAAAAAATCATTCCTTAAATACTTCACATATCTATATCTTTAAAACTCTTTTAGGGCTGCCGGAAATTTGGTATGAATTGATGGCATATAACATGGCAGAGGGGAGCGTGGTAGGGTAATGTTCTTCTTTGGCAGTATTAAAATCATTCCAGTTATTTTCAGTGGACATAAATAGTTATTATATAAATGACTCTGTCTTTGTTGGAAAGAAAACAATTCAGCTTTCATAAGTACCTGAATTCACTCAGAGTAATGTGGATATGTTGTTACATGTTCTGATTTGTGGTTGCATAAATTGCATTTTCGAGGTATGTGAAATGTTCAAAAGTAGCAGTTTCCTATTGTCACCTCCACTATGAGTTTCCGAGGCTGAGCAGTGATTTGAATCCAGGCCTCCTAACTTTTATTGTAAACTTTATCCTAACACTTTATCCACTACTACACTGCACTGGCAGACATTATCTTGTCTGTAAGTACGGACTTTTGTGCTCCCAGATTTCCTTTATTTTTTTATTGACAATTATAATTTGTAGAAAAAAATAGTACTGTATGAGGGTGAGAATTTTGCTCGTTTGTTTCTAATAATAATTTGCTAGAATCTGCAACATTTTTTTAATTCCTTGATTCAACCTTCCTTCCTTCCTTCCTTCCTTCCTTCCTTCCTACTGTATGAGGGTGAGAATTTTGCTCGTTTGTTTCTAATAATAATTTGCTAGAATCTGCAACATTTTTTTAATTCCTTGATTCAACCTTCCTTCCTTCCTTCCTTCCTCTGTCTGTCTGTCTGTCTGTCTGTCTGTCTGTCTGTCTGTCTGTCTGTCTTTCTAGGCTTTTCATCCCTTTCTGTTACTTCTCAGGGGGATACGACAATGTACAGTGGGGCCCTGCTAGACGATTATCCCACAAAACAGGTAATCCGCAGGATGATGATGTTTTACAATTGCTATAACGATTCACAAAACGGTTTTTCCTATGGGTGATTTTGCTGGACAATGATTTGGTCCATGCTTCGTAGACCGTTTTTCACAAGACAACGATTTTTACAGCTGATCAGTGCTTCTGTTTTTCACAAGATAGTGACTTTACAGCTGATCGGTGCTTCGCAAAATGGCTTCCCTATGGGCAATTCTTGCTGTATGACGATGATTTTTCCCCATTGGAATGCATTAAATAGATTTCAATGCATTCCAATGGGGAAACACTTTTCGCAAGACGATGTTTTCGCAAAACAGCGATTTCAATGGAACAAATTAACATCGTCTTCCGGGGCACCACAGTAGTCGTTTCCACTGCTTCACCCTGGATTATCCTCACAGTCCTGTTAGGCTGAGAAATTATGATCAGCTAAATAAGAATATGAACTCAAATCTTCTGAGTCATAGTCCAGCACTAACCACTACATCTCACATTTCGATCTATCATTTGTATTTTAAAAGGAGCCTTTGTTTTTCAAGGAAACCGGTTGATCAAGAAGGATGGTATATTAAAATGATGTTAAAAAGATTACTGAAATATACTTAGTATACCTCTTTTGCCTGATGTCAATAATCTTACGAGTCTGAACAATGTTCTTTATATCCAAACAGATTTAATTCTGTGAAATTCATCTTCACTAACTACTCAGGTGCCTCAGAGCATACCTGTCTGCGTATTTGCTTTCACAACAGGACTCCCCATTGTGATGCCTGGTTGTATTTAAATGTATTGTGATGGTAATTGTATTGGTTGAAATGGTTGAAATGCAAAACTAATCCTGCTGTTAAATAAATCAGGTTGCAATCAAAAGGTTAAGCCATTCATCTTCCTAGATAGGGTGGCCCTATCTCCTATTTCAGAAAAGACAGTCCTCTATTTGAAAGGGTGTCCTTGCTACAATTGTGTGTCTTTTCATCAGTTCTGGCATAATCCTTGCACCTAGAATGCAAGACAGTTTAAGGAACGCAGAACATGCATATATTTTGTCACCTAACTTAGTAATTCTCAACTCTTTGTGACTCCAGGTATTTTGGATTCCCATGTCTCAGAACTACTTTCACCTCTGCTTCCTGCAAACCTGTGACGAATGACATCTACTATTCCCACCCTTATCTGATGCATCTTTTTAACCACCTGTAGCCATGTATACAGCATTAGTTTGAAAAAAAAACACAATACTGGATGCATAGTTGGATGTATATAAGGCTGCTCCTAATGAATCAAAAGTTATTAAAACTCCCATAGCCATAACCAGCAGATGCTATGGGACAGGGAGTGGAAGCAAGGTATTGGGTGTGTGTGTGTAATTGGCATATGGGATTACAGTCTGTGTTGTGTCTCCTAAGAAGTCCTTGGAACAATTACTCTTTCAAACGAACACTTCATCACCTCATCATCATTCTTTGTTACAGTCACAGAACAGCAAGATTATAAAGAAAACATACAGAAAAAAAACTCCTATATGAAGTATATAAAACCTTCTTTCAGGGTGATTGCAACATTTTCTCTCTAGTTCCCACAGCCATTAAAAAAAGTGATTGCAACATTTCCTCTCTAGTTCCCACAGCCATAAAAAAAATGTCAGTAATATAAGTGGGTGCACCCTCTAAGTAGGACAGTAACAAATCTGTGGGCCTACCATGACTAAAACTTCCAGAATCCTCTAACAAGCATAGTCACTGGCCGTGTTAGCTGTGGGATTCTAGAAACGGTAGTTTGAAAAGGTATTCTGAGATCAGTTCCTAAACAGGCCCCCTGCCCTCAGGAGCAATCCCTTGTGTCAAAATAAGAAATCCCATCAGCTTCTATACATGTCATCCTTTGGCGCTGGCAGTAAAATGACCTGAAGTGACCTTGAGGAAATTGTGAGAGAAAACCGGAAACACATACAGCCCTTCTCAGATCAGCCTGATGCTCTCTACAATCATACTTTTCATCACTCCCAATATCCATGCTGGTAGAGATTGCGACAGTTGTAGTCAACACGTTTGGAGAATGCTGGGTCAGAAAAAGCTGCTTTAGAGGAATGCTATTTGTGTAGGTCCTAAAATGGTGCCATCAGCTGGTACATCAGCCTTTTTTGGGGGGAGCTGGCCTCACACTCTCCTTTCGTCATCCACTAAACTTGTTAATGGGTGTCACAGTCCTCATATGTTGTTGTCAAAACTATCTTTATTGTATCACCTGAGTTCTTATGTCATGATCACTGTAAATAACCACAGGAATAAACATGTTTTCTTTATTACCACGTATTTCTTTTCTTCCTCTTTTGCTGCCATTAACCTTTAGTTGCCCCTATGTGTGTGTGTGGTTTTTGTTTTTGTTGTTTCCCCTTCACTCAGGCTCTTATACTGTGACATCCTTCACATAACCAGCTCATTGGTATTCAATTCAAGCCAGGGAAGTTGGCAAGTATTTGGGTTTGAGTCTTTGGTACCAAGTCCTGAGTCCCAATTAAAAACAAGCTTTTTCTCCCCTTGGGTTCAAGTAGAGAGTCAAGTTTGAGTCAGTGAGGAAAAGAAACCCGAGTCAAGTCCAAGTCATGTCCCCGTGTGATTTAAGTCTGACTTGACAGCGAGTCCTGTGAGTGGAGTCCCAAACCCTAAATTCAGAACCACTCAACTTGAAGAGAACTAATAATGTTTTTTAAAAAAATAACTTGGTCAAATGGATCTTGTTCATTTCTAGGTTTAAAATTTACTCAGCACAATTCTTCACTCTATCACTCCCTCCCCTCAAACACCCTGTCTCAGACTGCACTCTCCTTCCAGACCATTTTCTCTCCAATCTCAGTATGTACGACTGCCTGATACACACACGCAGTTCCCCTCCTTATCTAGTCTTTCTCTCAGTCAATCAAAATCATTCTTACCAACATTATGTGATCCTTTGATCACATACTTACCAAACCAATTCTTGAGTTTATGTTTTTATAGTTAAAATTAGCTTTGCATACTTTTAGTCTTTCATGAAGCTTGTAAGCTTCTTTGAGTGCTATTTTGGATGCAAAGGCAGGATACAAATGTAATAAATAAATGATAAATTGTGCAGTCCACATCTTTCGTTGAACCTAAAGTACAGTTAACTGAAATAAAGACAAGCCCTTGTGTTTAATTCACACTTACCTCCATTTCCCCTTCCATTTTGTCAGCTTTTTAGGGCACTGAGGATTTATAATTAATTTCATCTATTGCATAGAAGTAGCTACCTAACGAATGTACTTTGGTTTGGCATTGCAAACTTAAACTCTCGCGGATTTTTCTCAGCATTAGAGAAGACTGATACCTTAAACATTTTCATTTGATGTACGCTAGAGGGCACTCAAGAGTTAGAAAGAAACAGATACAGTACTGGCGTCTTTTTGGAAACAAGAGGTCAGATTGAGCTTTCCCACTCCAAAATTTAAAGTTGCCTTATTTTTATAATTGTATGGGAAAGTTTGCATAAGTTGTTGCCATCATTTAGAAAAAAAACACATTCCTGTAGTGAAATAACAGGTTTGGAGAATTCAAAAACTTTGCTTAGAATGATTTGGTTGGCTCTAACAAAAATATTAAGCTGACTGGATAGCTCAGTGATTTAGGGATCTGGCTGCCGTGGATAGTTCAGTGATTTAGGGATCTGGCTGCCCAGCCAGAGATTAGGAGCCCAGTTCCCCACTGGGCTTTGGTTGAAGTAGAGCCAGCCTGTGTGGCGTGTGGCGAGCTGCACAGTCCTAGGGCACCCACAGAAGAAAAGAATAGTAAACCATTTCTGAATATTCTATACCCGGAAAACCCTGAAAAGGGTTGTCATAAGAACTGGCTTGATGGCCGATGAGTATTATTAACAAAAGTATTATTTAGCTGTGGATTTCTGACATGTCCCCCTCTGGACTTTATTTTGCATTTTATAGAAATCTGCTGCTTTCGTGTTACAGATTTGTAAGAACAAAGACCATGGCAAGCTTTGTAGGGAAAACTATTTTAAAATTTATAATAATTTAGTACAAACAAATATAAGCTATGTTCAAATGCACCATGTATGGCATCCCTTCTTGTACCAGAGGAGTGTGGGAGGTTGGTCCTTGTGTGTCAGTTTGTCAGAGTGCTCACAGACATGAGGCATGTGCATACTTAGTTTGATTGTCGACAATGTAATTACTTCCTTGGTTTGCATGCATACTGCCTACAGTCCTATTGGGATTTGTGTAAGGTTTATGCAACTCTCCATAGCTGATTTAGACTAATCAACAAGGTTGTGTGTTGGTTGTACAATTGGGCATATGACCAGCCACAAAACTGAGATGCAGCCTGGTACTGTATATCATAACTACTATGAGATGCAACAAATTGCAAACCTTTCGTGAACACCAATTGGATTTTGGACTCTCTCTCTCAATCTCTCTCTCTCTTTCAGATTTTTCTGATGCAACAGGGAATAGCTTACATGTGTTATTTGCAGCATCATTTTGTAGTGAAAATATATTTAGACATTGAATAAATAAATGTGAGTCCAATTAATGTAGACTAGGAAGTATATTAACAATTGACTGGTATGTATAATTCACATTAAGTAGTTCTTAATTCAGCATAAGCATGCCTGTTGGGTTAGCTCTCTCTAGTTCATATAATATTTTCTTGTAATGATATAAAAGGCAAGTAGAACATCTTCCCTATCATTAGCCTAAGGAGAAGAAACTTTGACTGTTAGATTCTGAAAATATCCCTCTTACTCACAGTTCGTATTACATGTTCATGCATAATTATTTTGAACCATGTTTGCACATCTATCTTCATGGTTCTCCATTCATTTGAGATATATGAGAAATCCGACTATTCTTTCCAGTCTAGATATAATTCTTAGCCACAGCTCTTAAACATAGAGCTTTCTGTGTTTAAAAATAACTGTGTGGCTGATGATGACTATAAAATGGTATTTCTCTGCCCTGTAACAGTGCAGCCAACCTAGAAGGGGCTCCCAGACTTTTCATACTGTGACTCGGTTAACTTTGTTTACACAGCCGACTCCATTCATTCATCGGAACAAAACCACACCCTCTGAGGTGGCCGATAAGATTTTAACAGCTTGTCAGGGTAGCTTGTCAGATCCATTAGGACTGAACAATCACATTCCTAGAGCATTTCCAGAGTGTATGTCCAAGCTCTCTCTCTGTCTTTCTCTCTCTCTTATGCACACATACACACACACACACACACACAGCTGGAAAAAGAGGAGGAGAAATCTGGTCATTTAGAAGGCATGCATCATCATAGTTGCCGGCAGCCGTTGGACTCTTAAAACTATTTTCATCATGTGGATTCACTGGAGAAATGATTTTCTTGGATCAGACATGCCAAATTATAAACTGGCTTGTTTGCTCTCTGTGCTCACCCCGGTTGCTGAGACTCTGGAGTGGTCGGTGCCCAAGGACCAGAAGGAATTTGTTGTTGGGCACAGCCTTTGTGATCTATCTGGGATTCCTCGTCAGCCAAGTAGGTCATATTGTTCCGCAACACAAAAGAAGATCTTCAAAAGCAGATGTCCAGAATCTTCGAGATGCTGACCAGGCCCTATCCCTTGATATCCCATTGGACAGCACCTTTTCATTTCCTGACCTGGAAAAAACCCCAGCAGGGAACAATGACTCTTCAGTGCTACCCAACGTGGTGTACATTACACTGCGATCCAAGCGTAGCAAGCCTGCCAACATCCGAGGCACTGTGAAGCCCAAGCAAAGGAAGAAGCACATCACACCTTCGCAGTATGGAAATAAGCATCTACTACCCAGCATTAGCCAGGACAAGACCTTAATTCCAAGGTCACTTCATGAGACTAGTAATTCCATTAACAAGTGGACCACGGCAGGAGGAGCAGTTCCAAAGAAATCAAGACATCACAAGGAAGAGAAAGAGAAATATATGCCAAGAAAATATAACAGGCACTGGAAGCCTGTGGTGGCCCAAACAGGTGTGAATGTTGAACCTAATGCTCAGGAGAGCAATATCAGGATATACAGTGAGAGACCACCGTCATGGCTGAGCAAAGAAGACATCTTAAGTATGCGTCTTCTGGCAGACTCCAAAATAAAGAGTATACAAGTGGCACCATCGCAGCATGGAGTACTTCTGGTATTTGAGAGGGATGCTATTGTCAACGAGTCAACGAAAAGAGGTGTTTGCAGCCAAGGTCACTGTGGCTTAATCAAGAGACCCATTGACACGAGTGAAGTGTTTGCCTTCCATTTGGATAGGATCCTGGGGCTGAACCGGACCTTGCCTACCATTAGCAGAAAGTCGGAATTTGTGCAAGGTAATTGATTCAGACAAACTGGGGCATTTCTGTCCCTCCATGCATTGAGCGGTTGTTCCCCTTCAACAGCCAGCAAGCAGTTCATTGCTCTACAGAGCAGAATGAGAATAAAAAAAGGATATTCCTTAAACAATTATAACACTATTTCAGATTACCATCTGAAGGTTTCATTTCCTGAATTTGTCAATGTTTCAATCATCCTCCTGTATCATTATGAGCCTGAGCAGAAAAATACTCTAGCGTTGTTCACAGAGTGACATGAAAACTGCTGAATTATGAGAACTGGAAATTAATTGTGTGCAAAAGTCTAAAAATGGTCACGATCTAGAGCTGGGGATGTTCTCCCCCCCTTTTTTACTACATCTCCCAGTATCCTTCAGTCAGTGAAGCTAAGGGTGTTCTGGGAGTTGTTGTCAAAAAAATAATTTACTAAAGCTCTGATCCAAATCATTCCAAGGTTTTGTACAGATGATTCTGTCAGAACTTTGATTTCTAGACAAGGAAACATTATAGGCCAGAGATTGCAGCCAGAGTTTCCAAGTACGTTAGCAATGCAATCTCCATTCACTTCTGTGAGATGTTTACAAGGGTTCAGAATAGACCAGTGAAGTGAATGAATGTAGGTTGTGAAAGGAGGCATGACTTAGAGGTTTGAGTCTAACCTGTTGCAGGCTGCTTAAGGTGATTTCATAAACATTCACTAAAAATATCATTGCCCTTCCAAATTAGTTTTTTAGATGCAGGTTGCTAGAATTTTTTTAAAGTTATTGTTGCACAATGTATTGTACTAGACAGTAAGCTTATATCTATATCTAAACCTAAATCTATATCTGTACTGTAGCTATAACTATATTTATATCTATCTACATATATCTAGTTTTGATTCCTATTGCTCAGAAGAATATAATGCCAGATCACAAGCCTTTATTTAAAAAATCTATTTGAATTGCTACTGTTGGTAATAAGAAAACAGAGAAGTATTCTAGTAAAATAGCTTAAATGCAAAGAAAGAAAATGTAACGATGACTCTGCTTATTATTTTTAATATTATTATTTTTTGGTTTGGAAACAAAAATATGCAAAGTCTCTTACTCACTGAACTCACAAATTGCTTTTATTATGCACATTTCAGTTTTTAAATCCAAAACTGAAATTAAAATCAGACCAAAATAAATGGGTTTTTATTTCTCAGTTTCTCTCTCATATACATACCACTATTGTGTTAAATTGTAGCTGAAATAGTATAATGAGTATAATGTGATGTAATATGACAGAAAAGTATATGACGGAAAAGGCAGGATTGCATTTTAATTAATTGCTGCTTAAATAGTTTATAATTTACATTCTGATTTTTCCCCTTACAGTGTTCTCTATATTATTTTCTAAAATAGCCATTGCTGGCATGAATTTTATTAAAGAAAGAGTAAAAGTAAAAGGAAGGAAGGAAGGAAGGAAGGAAGGAAGGAAGGAAGGAAGGAAGGAAGGAGGGAGGGAGGGAGGGACAGAGTACTAGGAGCAGACTGCAGAAATCAGATATAACAACATCCTCTGGTTTCTGAACACGTTATAACCTCCCTACTGGCATAATATGCAACAGCAGCAGTAGATTTGATTTCTCAGGGCAACATTATTTGCTCACTTTTGTGAATTATTCAAGTTACCAGGATGTAGAAGACAATTAATGCATGCATTGTTTTTGGGAAAAGGGCTTTATTGCCACAGAACCACTGGGGCAGTTTAGTTTCAGGAATGAAGAACATTAATTTCAAGTCTGAACTGTTTTTAGCTAAATTTTAGGAACTGTTCCTTTCAGCTTGCAGTATCCATTTTAGATAGCTGGGAAGAAAGCAAAATAGACGAGCCTTTCTCTTTCTCTCAGACTCTATAACTGGTGATGTTCCAAAGATGCAGAACTGTTGCTAGGCGATGAGAAGTGAGGGAAATAGCTACTTCCCATTTTGGCTGTTTTTTCCCTGGGCTGTTTCTTAGCTATGAATGAGGTCAGACTGTGGAACAGCCTCAGCAAATGGCGTACACTGGAAATGTTTAGGATCCTAAATGTCCTATTTTAATCACGAACTTAATCCACCCTACAGAAGCCCCACTGCAATGAGTGAATGGTTTTATGATGCTCTCACCTCTTTAGATGAAGATTGTGTGGAAGAATTTTCCGTATGTTGTGGTTCTCCTATTTGTGTTGATTTAGGCAACAACCATACAAATTTGAATGACATTACACACCTTCATGGTGAAGTGGTACTGGCTTGTTGCTTTTTCCTTTTGTTAGAAGTAAACTGAGACTGCAGTGCTGTACAGTGGACCCTCTACTTATGGAATTAATCTGTATTGGAATGGTGGCTGCAGGTTGAAAAGTCTGTAGGTCGAGTCTCCATTGACCTACAATGCATTGAAAACCGATTAATCCTGTAACTGGCCATTTTTGCTCCATTTTTTTCCATTTTGGTTTTTTCTGGTTAGTAGGTCAATTCTCCGGCTGCAAGTGGAACCTAAATTTTGTGGCCAGAGAAGTCTATAACTCAAAAAGTCTGTAAGTCGAGCCGTCTGTAAGTCGAGGGTCCACTGTATCCAATTACCGGAAGTAAGACTACAAAACTCAAAGGGATTTATTCCTGAGTAGTCTTTACTAAGATCTTTCTGTCACTAGCCTTCCTTTTCTCAGTTGTGTGGCACCCACACATTTTTTATGTAAGTCGAGCCGTCTCCTCCTACCTGTCAATTCCTCTCTCTTTCTCTTTCTCTCTCTCTCTCTCTCTCTCTCACCCCTCCCTCTCTCTTACCTTGCTATCTCATATAGATATAACTCTACATAAACTCATTTAATTTGTACAGACAATAAGTGTATATCTGAACTCCTGACTTTATTAGCTTTCTTGGTGAATTTTTTTACTTCTTTTTAAACATATGTGGTTAAACTGATCTTTATATTAAGAGAATTTTTCTACTCATTCAAATATGACTTTGGGTCTGACATTTCAATGTGGTGTTTCCACTTTAACATGCTTCTCTTTGCCATTGGCCTCTGTTTGTTGCTCCTGAAATGAATAGTAAAATACCTAAGTCACAAAAATAATTCACATTGTTTTGTGACATATCTGTATTATTAGAAGAGAAGCTTGAAACCTCCCTCCCCACCCCACCAAGATTCATTACTGTTGACACATGAAAGTATATGAAGGCATGGAGACCAGAAGAGAGGAAAGCCTTCTGTAGTTCTGGCTTGCAAAGAAAACAAAACCTCAATTCATAGTGTCAGTTGCAAACTTGATGTTTTTCTCCATGAGCTCACATGTAATCTTGACTGAATGAAAGCCCTTTAGTTCAAGAGGAAGAAAAACACATCAGGATGAAGAAAGAAGATATACCTGCTGTGCCAAGTGTGGCGGTCCAATTCTAAATCCATCTGTGTTTGCTGAGAATAGATTATAATTTAAGTGGAGAAGAATCCAGCTAAAGGCTTGTATAAAGCGTGTAGGTGCAAATTTATGCCTAGGATTCAACTACTGTATCTCCTTTAGGTATACCAAATAGGATTGGGTTGTTTTTCCTCAGTTTCTTTCTTTCTTTCTTTCTTTCTTTCTTTCTTTCTTTCTTTCTTTCTTTCTTTCTTTCTTTCTTTCTTTCTTTCTTTCTTTCTTTCTTTCTTTCTTTCTTTTAATAACAGGTTTTAAAAGAGGGTTGCCATGTGGCATGGGTTAAGAATTTTTTTTTAAATCAAAACCTCGTTAGATGTATAGAACTAGTTGTATATTTCTGTAGCTCCGTACCTAACTTAATTGGGGCTGAAATCCTGTTGAGTAATGTAAGCAAATCTGTACATTTCAGTCTGTTCCTCATTGGTAAATAAAGAGTCCTTACTGCAGCTCTCAGGGGCACATGCATGTGCATCAAGCAGCTTGGGTGCACACCCCTGAGAATCCCTGTGAGGGCTCTTTATGGACTAATGAGGAATGGACCAAAATGTTTGCATTTGCCTACGTTATGCCACAGGATTCTCGCCATGTATTTTTATTCATCCTGTGCAGAGTCTGGAAAAGTTTTGGACTGCAGTTTTCAACATTTCTTGGGTAGCTTGTGCTAAGAGGTAGAGAATAGATTGAAATTAACAATGAATGCCAACCTAATCTGGGACCAGTTCTCTTTATTACTCTTCTGATGTTTCAGCATAGCTGTCTGAATGGTGGTGAAAACTTCTGGGAATTGCAGTCCAGGGACACCTGGGTTACCCAAGTTTGGGAACTGCTATTCTAGAAAACTAGAAGATGGTATGACTGAGCCTTCCCTGCCACATTCGTTTCTTTTGCTTCATTATCAGCTCTGATCAAATGTATGTTCTAATTTTTTGAAGCACAGCCACTCACCCCCACCTGTAAAAGGAGAGGACTGGAGGCTGAGTCCTATTAGAATCTTCTTCCACTCATGTGAAAACGTTGCCTGCCTCCAGCCAAGCCCTCATTTCTCTCAGAAGAGCTACATCTGTGTAATTTCAATAATAACAACAGTAGCTAAAGCAGGAGCTCAGAGTCAAGAGCGACCCTCGTCTGAAATGTACTTAGGGTGAGAGGGCATTTGACTTTGAGCCTCATTGTGTTTGCTCACTCTGTAATTGGGTTTGTACCAACAGAGACTGGGAACTTGGCACAGACAGAAGAAGAAGCTCCATTGGTCCCATTAACTATGTTACTTTAGTGATCGCCACATGGTGATAAGCATTGTCAGAGGGCCAGTTTTAAAACAGAAATAGCACAAAACAAGCACACAAGCAGAGCTGCCATGCTCTTCCTTGCACACTTCAAATTGTACCTCATCAATTTGATCAACATTCCATCAAAGGACAATGAGGAAAGTTGTTCTTGCTGAGAGAAATCAGCTTTGTTGCGCACCTTTTGTCGGATTCAGCAGTTTTGTTCACAAATTGTTCTCCTGATAGATAATAGGAGGCCAACAGAAAACTCTGGTGTAGAAACATCTACTGGAGAGCT